GTTCCATAGTATGGTATGTTCTTATGTCATCATTAGTTCAGGACAAGACTAATGTACCCCTGAGTCTGATTGCGTTTTAACTTGATGCTGTCTCACGAACAGAGCCTCGTTCTTTCGATCTCTTGTCGACAAACCAACCCCACCCTCTACTTTGCAGAATGTACAGGAAAGAATAAAAAGGGAGAAAGAGGCCCACTTGTACGTGCCCAGACTTTCATCAATCAATGTCTGACGATTTAAAGACAAGACCTTGCTTCCATATACGACTTTCAGGCGCAACAAAGACTTGCACTCCATCGTGAAAACAGAACCGCAATGGATGGAGGTGACTATTACCCTAACCACAGCTATGGTGAAAGAAAACCATCGCATGATAAGCAAGAGCCGGTTCCATTACCTCCTGAGCTCTGGTTTGTAAGTATTGTTCGAGTTTGCTGGGCCAGAAAGTGTGCCAAACCTTGCAGGCTTTGATGAGTGAACATCAACAAAGTGCCGAATTCGACGATATGATCAGTCACTTTAACAGCACGTTTTCACATACACAGCTTCCATTGTACCGGCAAATAGAGGAGTTGCAGAAACAGCAAAAGGCACTAGAAGAACGAAGGAACAATAGTCTTCCCACTTCCCTTGCCGAATTTAATCTCATCACCTCGAGAGAACATCAAAACCGTATAGCGAGGTCATTGGTAACAAGGGGACAGCTACCAATCGGAGAATACGATACACCAGAAAACGTACAAGCTCTTCAACATGCTTACGAAACTGATGTCAGTATATAGCCAAGACTAGGTCTCAGAAGACTGACACGCTTTCAGGATGCCTTCAAAGCACGCGTTCAGGAGGCAGCTGCATCCACCAAGACTAAAGACCCCCGCCCAAGGCCATTAGCGGGGCAGTCCCAGTAGTTTACATCATAGCCTTTATAACTTCTAGCATATCGTGCAGAATGAGAGAGACGAAGGAATCCGATCTGGTTCACGGATCCTGAAACCTGAATTAATATATCGTGGTAAGATGTTACACGGATAAACATCGTTAAATTTCTATCCTAAGCTGTCACTCGGTGGAATCCTCGATGGCCAATGCATGAAGCTCCGTTAAATAGGCGTGGTAATTTCTGTCGGTAGCGTTTGAGGCTCCGTTTTCTCCCAAGGCTTGATCAACACCACACTGGAAATTGAGCATTGACTTGTATTCTTCGAGTGTAAATTGGGGCTTCTTTTTGATAGAAGCTAGCATTTCCTGAAAAAGGGTCCAGTCAATGTTGGCAACAAACTGTATACAAATGAAACACCACCTACCCTGGGTGTCAAGGAGAAAAGACTATAGTAGACCTTGGCTCGCTCAAAGTCTGCGTCCTGAGACGCGTCTGTAATGGTCTTCATGTTTTGTTGCATCGCTAGCATATTCCGCAAAATCTTCTGAATTCCAACGGCATTAGCAAACCGGATATGACGAGCGTTGGATATCAGGAGGTGCTCCATAAGAGTACCAAGTCCATCGAATAAGAATCTTGAAGAATAATCAGTTTCCACCACGAGTACAGTAAATCCTGACGTACTTGCGTTCTCGAGGCGGCAACGTCTCGTTAGCACAATCGTCGCAAACCCCAAGATCCAGATTAAGGTCAACTATATGTGGATCAGGATCACCTCCATCCCTCTCCACTCGATAATTCCCCTACAATAGTTTAATGGAGTGAGGACGGGAAGAGGTCGTTACATACCCGACGCATTGCAAGATCCAAGAAGTGGATCGTACGGCAGCGAGTGTCAATCCTTAAGGTGGCGAGAACATACTCAGCCAGTTGCTCATATGTTTGCATCAAAGCATCAAAGCGCCTGTATGTGATAATGAGATTCACAGTAAAGAGAGCCACTACTCGTACTTACAATGCCATTGGCTTGGACAAGAGAAGTCTCAACTCTTCTGCTTTTGGCGCCGGTGGGAGCAGTGGGAAGTGTGGAGTTACAGCTGTAAACCCTGCTTCTGATTCGATTGCTTGATCAGGACCGGGAGACAATGGATCATCGACGACGCTTTTCATCGAGACCAGTTGTCGCATGAACCAGGTCTAGGGGTACATTAGTCTTGTCCTGAACTAATGATGACATAAGAACATACCATACTATGGAACAAGTTTCCAAGAGAATGTAAATTTTTGGAAAACACGAGATCATCTTTGTCGACAGTTGCAGTGGTCAAAAAGTTGAGCTCCACTCTTGTCTCTTGTCTACATAGACCTCTGGAGCTTGCTATGTCATCCTCCTGTGTATGATTAATGAGGACATCATTGGCTCAGAATTGTAGCCTTACTGGTATTGTGTACAACGCAGAAACACACGCAGCGACCTCTGGTCTTTGTGCCCATCTCGCAGCTACAGCGACATGCGCCTCGTCCTGCGTCATACCTTCTCTGGTCGAAACCAACTCTTTGAAGCGATCGCTACAGCGCTGATAGAAGTCGATAAGCAGGCCGAGCATCAGTCGAGAGTAGTTATCTCGGTGGAAGGGCGTAGTTTGTTGCATCGCACAAAGGGAATTGATGAGGGAGACCAACTCGATTGTAGATTTTACTAAAGGGCGATTGGAGAGCTTTTTCCATCCTGGGTCGGGAAGAAATGCATCCGGACCTGCAAGACATAAATCAATATTAAATCACCAAGAGCATCTGGTCAACAAACTTGTGACTGTCTTGAGGAAAATGTCTGCAACCCGCTCTCCGAGTTGAGGCAAGCATACTTTGAGGACAAAATCATCCAGAAAACTACTTGATTGGCGAACTCGTTCTGCTGTCGTTGAAGGCAACACCTCTGCAGCGCGATCCAATAATGCCAGTGTGGGGTGGAATAGGACACTGACATGGAAAGAATCTGCTGGTACTAGTAGGCGATGGGGAACGGCGCTCGCAAAACGATCATCAACCGCTGTGGCAAGGGCTGTTTGTACTGATGTCTCAGTGCCGCCTACTAAACCTGGTACAGAGTCCTTGAGGACTCGAGTGAGTTCCTCTTCGTGTGGTTTGTTGAGACGATTTGAGAGCTTAACATCCGAGTCACCGAAGCGGAAGTTTTGCTGTCACCAGGAGCTTCATAAACAAGAGTGTGCCGAGTAGAGATATCTACACTTACCCAGCCCTTTTCTTTCTTCATGCCGCCAGCTTTAAGTGCGTCATTGATTGATGGTACCTGCGTTTTGCCAGTGGAGGCACCTCCTTTCTCTTCAGTTAGATATAATAGAATGAGACCTTTCAGCTAGAAAGATCTCAGTCGTAAAGTTTCTAGAGGGACAGTATGATAGCTACCTCGGCATCTATTGGTTCCCATAATTCTGGGAAAGAGAATATTGTCCCTGGTTTAGCACCAGAGATGTCCTTGAAGTCCTTGCGCTGATCAAGCCGATTTGTCAGTAGTGAGCGAAATATGGTATTGATGACCTACCGATCCGATCCGGTTCGCCACTTCATATACTACCCGTAAGCTTTGGCAGACGGCGTCTAATTTCGAGAACAAAGTCCAAAATAGATCTCTTAGTACCGCATGATCGACAACACTGGCACTATTCTCTAGAGCTGCGAGCCTTAGTAATGAAACTGGAGATTGGGCTTCTCCAATCAGCCCGCTGGGTTTATTGGACCCATCTATTCCGGAGGAAGAAGGGTCGATATAAACATAGGCAGCAATGGCCTTCGCGGCTACAACGTTGGCATTCTTTGTAAACGGAAGTCTCTTGCTAAACTCGGTCCTTTCATTCACTTCGTCGATCGTAGCCTCTACAAGCGAGTAAAGTTCCATCGGCAGCCGCTGGGTAATCATTTCCAAGCTAGAACCAAGTTGTCCGAGAATAGCCAACGACTCCAGGACAGTTTCTATATAACTGAACGAGTCGGCCTCAGGATTGGTTTGTGATTGCGTTGAGTCGCCTGCATACGGTGCCATAAGACTATTAAGAGATAGGCGGGAATTACTCGAGGGATCATAAGGAGGGTCATTTGCTTTAAGGTTCAAGTTGTGCAAGAACGACACAAGCCGAGGCGAGCTGCCCTTTGAAGTGATTGGCATGGTCCCTCCAAGTAGCTTCTCTTCGTCAAACTCAACCTTGGGGACTACATAATCCAGAGGACACTTCAGAAATTTGTCACGATACTCTTGATTACTCACGCATTTGCTGGCCTGGGGTATAAGCTCGCCATCTCACGTCACACCAGAACGTTTTGAGATAGATGTGGGCTTGAACTTCATCGACAAGGATGTCTCTCAGAGTCTACCCATCTGTCAGAACGCTAGAGATGAAAGAAAACAATACATGCCGTTTCTTGCCCTGATAAGTAGGCTTTTAGGTCACTTAGTGCCCCAATATCCTGCATATCGGACTTTGCAATGATTTTTGTACTGCGGAGGAGTAATGAAGATGCTTGTAATAGCCTCTTCTCAGAGATTAAAGTTTCTAATGTATCAGGAACGGACTTGAGATAGTCACTATAAAGGTGTTCATCAATAAAAAATCCCGTCATTTGATCTAATTCGCTCACATCTCGTCCACAATTTTGATCATTTCGTCCAGAGTCTGGCCCCTAGTCCAAAGCTGAGCTAAATCAGCACGCTTACTCCCTAGAGCTTCCTTCGCTTCTACAAGTTTGGTCTTGGAATCTTTTATCTGGTCTGCAGTGGTATTCAACGAGGACATGACCGACGCATGATGCGGAAGTGAGGCTGCAAAGGTTTGGGCATATGCTGTAGAATAAAGGTATTAGTGCCGGAAGAAATGATTCTGGACAACCATATACCTTCAATGGAACCTTTGAGGGCTCCTTCAAGCATCCGCTTTGTCCGAGCGAACGAGTTCATATCTTTGCCGACGGACGAATCATCGAGAAGCGCCAGAGCTAATTCAACGGGGTTGAACTAAATACTTTAGTGTGCTTGTATTGAATCGGTAACGATATTGCTTACCTCTGGTCTAGTGACCCATTCCCACTCTCCTTGAATCTCATCAAGCACCGCTGTAACAAAATGTTGGAATGACACTATACGAAATAAACAGAAATTTACCATCTATATCACCTTTACCTCTCCTCCTCACATTGCCATTTTGCCTTCTAGCCGCAAGCTCTCGTTCTCTCATACGTTCCTTCCGTTCAGCATCAGCCCTTGCCTGTTCCCTACGTCTTCTTTCCAACTCTTCACGTTCCATATCTTCATAACTCCCGAATCCACCAGGACTCACTTGATCCAGTGTCGCCTTTCTCTTTGCCTGTCGCCTGTTACCGGCACTTTGTAAGGCGGATATAGCATTCTGTAATGCTCTAGGAGAAGTGGAATCCTCAGGACTTGTAGGACTTCTGTTTCTCGAAGGCGTCTCTGGCTCAGACAGTGGACCTCTGTCCCTTTCTGGAGCCCTCATCGGCCGTCTTACTGGACCCTCTCGATCGGAAAAAGTAGTCGATACCGAATCACGGTTTAGATTACGAGCAGAAGATGGGGCTCCTGGACGCCCGGGTGGTTGCACTCCTCGTAGTTCTGAGCGCGACGGTCGTGCTGGGATGCCTGCTCCATCGGAGACCATGCTTGATGGACGGGAATCCTGAGAATAGCTGGATGGTGGTATGACATTTCGCGTTCTATTTGGATTTGTAGAGAATGGGGGTACTCGGGACATGGTGTATCCACAATTGTGGCAGGGACCAAGGGGCTATATAGAGCTAATTTAGGGGCTTGTTCAATCACACACTTGGTTACTTATGAGGGCTCGAGACTTTCAGAAAAGAGTATCCATTGTACAAAGTAGACGGGAAACTCGAGTAAACTAGAGACAAAAGACATGAACCTTATAAAGCAGTCAAACACACAGGTTATCGGAGGTAAGCATAGAAAGGAGCCGGCAGAAAGAGAGTGAGTGGCACTTGTGATTAGTGTGACGGCTGGATGGATAGCTTGCCGCATAAAAATAGGCTTATGTTGAGAGGATGGTGCTGGTCAATGTTCTGTATGGAATGGGTTGCAGTATTAATGATCCAAGCCCTTGCTTATCCGAATATATGATCGGTGCAACGGTGGTGCAAGAACGAATGGGGGTGGGGATAAAGAGAAGGGCATAACATTTTCGTATCGAGATCATTCATTCATTCTTCCAAAT